GATAACCAAATAGAAGAGATGCATTCAACAAGATATGGCGATAGCAGTAACTCCGACCCTAGATCTTCGAATTCTTCGGGCTCAGGAGATGGAATCCGCCCGGGGTCTGAAAATTCATTCTGTTTTTCTGTCGTTGATACCTCCAGTAGTCGTGCAGGTAGACCCCGCATACGTGGTGGTCGACCCAGAGGCCGTACAAGAACCAGAGGTGGTCGAAAATAAAGCGCAGTATCGACACCGTCATCGGTAGCCGCTAATACATGGAGCGGTAATTTTGTCTCTTTTAGAAAAACCTTTGTACCAGCCAAGATACTTGTTACTTAATACAAAAACATGGGAAGACGAAGATTTTTCAAAAAATATACAACAGACAACATTCTTGAACAAATGCTGGTTGCAACAAATAGAAAATATCTTCTAAATAAAGGGCAAGAGCTAAAGATGACTCAAAAATAATTGAAAAAAATTATAGGCATCCTATTAATTATGGGGTCTATTAATTTGCCAGCTATAAGTATGTATTGGTCCGGTAAATACGGGATTCAAATTATTAAGTTTGCGATGAGCCGAAAGCGATTTGTTTCTTTGAAAGTCATATATGATGCCGATGTGACTGATCAAGAGAAATCCAACAAAATCTGTATTGTCTGGATGTCATAACAACCCAAAAGCAGATCATATAAGTATAGACGAGATGATAATTCCATTTATCAGCCATTGTGGAATTCGTCAATACTGTCCGGAATAATCAAATCCAGTTGGGATTAAAGTCTTCGTTTTGGCGAATCCTGACGGACTCGTCTGTGATATGGTAGTTTACCAAGGCGATACTACCTTTGCGGAGCTCAGATCTCAAGGCTATACTTTAGGGGAGTCAGCAATACTCAAACCCAAAAAAAATCTATAAATTCTAATTGCAAAAAAACATTCTTCTGCCTAATGTATCAGATGCAATGTATTTTTGTGCAGTACTAGAAAAGGAAATTATTTGTAGAGTTTCATAAGCCAAACTTTTGATAAGTCATTACAGTTTTTTTTTTAAATTTTAACTTTGTTAAAACTATGTTTATTTTATAGAGATTATATCCAAATCGACTTACATTAATATTTTCTAGTTTAGTAAATCTAGTGACTGTGATACATACTAAAGTACAAAAATATGTAAGAGATTAGAGCTAATTTGCTGACTGTGATTTGTAATAGACTACTAAGACTAATTAGTAAATAAATGCCTTGTTACTTGATTTAAAATTGAGTTTTATTGAATAATAAACTATATAAGCCTTTACACAGGCAATATATTATATAAATAATATAGTTTGTTAAAATATTTTATATGTTGTAAATATACTACATTTCTTAATTTTGGTGAACAGAACTGATGTTGTATATATACTACATTGAGAAAATCTAGATTTTCAGAAAGATATTTTTTTTATTATTTTTTAAAGAGTTTACGTTACTTAAAAATTGAACCCAGATAGTTTTTGTTAAAGGTACAATATTTACAAACATAAAACAAACAAATAATTAACTATTTTGGTGCATTTGCTTATTTATATTGATTTTTTATGTAATTATCATCATATATTATTTTGAAAATATTAGAAAAATTAACCTTAAGTTAAAACGAGAAACACCATGGACATGGAATAAAGGAAAAGGTAACATATATTAATGCCAAACACAATCCTTTTTAACAGTCAGTGTAATGAGATCTTTTTATTTTGAAGAGAATCAAGAATAATTGAAAAAATAACATCAGTGCTTTCTTGATGGAACAATGAAAACCAATTTCTTGATGGAAAAACAATATGAATATAGTGCCAACGGCGATTGGAAACAGTGGCGTAACTACAGGGTAGCAAGTCGGCAAAATGCCACGGGCCCCCAATTGGAAGGGGTCCCCGCTAGGAGGAGACTCCTTAGTCCTGATATTTATTATTACACGATTAGTAAAAATAGAATAGAAACTCAGATGAATTTGTTAAATGGTAAAGTTACGCCACTGATTGGAAACCTTTACTTTACATAAAAACGAGTACTTCCCTGTTATAGGTAGATGGCGTTGCATTAAACCTGTTATATGTAGATGGCGTTGCATGTGTGTGGTAAACTATGATAAACTATAATAACGATTCAAGTGCAAAACTTTAGCAACATATTAAAATACTATATGGGTTACGATTTCCAAGAAAAACTAAATTACCAATTCTAACGACATCTATTGCTGCTGAAAAACATCGCCAATGTAACACTTCATTTTAAAGTCTCAACGCTAGATGTCAGTCAATACAAAAGAGAAAACACGTGTCAAATACCTAATAAGGAAGATAGAGGACAGAGGATATCGTATTGTGTTTTATAATCCATTTATATATTTAGTAGGACGTGATAATGGAATAAGGAAGTATTTAAAAAAAGAATTAGTTCCCGAGATCAAGTTAGATGTCGTCCTTTACGGTAGACGGGACTTTCTTGATTTCTCCATTACAGCATTTCCGATTTTCTTTCATGTATAAAAGTAAATTAATTTTTAAAACTCAATAAACAAGTCATATTCTATTTGTCCTTTTTCGTATTTGTATTGATATCTAAGTTTCGAACGAACAAGTTTCAGTTTTTTTTTATATGTTAGTTAAAAGGAACGGCAATGACTATCTTCGGTCTTTTCGGTTCCTGCAAAAAATATTTTTTCCGTAGAATCGCCATCTAGTGATGTGCTTTTTTAGTGTTTTCTTTTGTTAAAAATACTTCCTACTTTCTGTTGCCAGATTGCGGCACTAGCACACATAGGGAAGCTTTTTTTATAAACGTCAAACTTCATTCATAGCCGTGTTATTACTGTACTCTTTGATTAATTATTATAAAAATTAACTATTATTTGATTAAATAGTTCAATTAGTGAGGAAAAGAGTAAGAGCGATTACAGTATAATTTGATCAGGTAACATATTATACATGTAAAAAAGGAAGAGAATAATTTATGTCCAAATACAAAATGTTTGCGTAATATTTCGTTTTACTAGTAAACCATAGGGCGCTTGTGCACTACACTGAATTTTCAGGTCCGGCGGTCCGATTTTTTCCGGTCCGGAATGACATGAAAAACTCGGATGAGTAGCTTGTGCACTTGTCCGTTTTTTTCCTGATCGGAGCAGCCCAGTGTAGGGCAGCTCTCTTTGAAGCTACACGTCACTTACGCTAGGTACGATGAGATTTTTGGAACGTTGGTAATTCCGTTCGAAGACGTAGAAAGGTACCTAAATAATGATCTGATCGTTTTACATAAACCATAATAAATTATGGCAAGACGAAAGCATTTTTTTTACTACTATCGGATGACTACTATCAGATGTAAAAACTTATACCCTTACTAATTTAGGAACAGCATTATTCACATACAATAGCTAAAAATATCTGACATTAGAATAAAATTACTGATAATGGTCTAGTACTTGATGTTTAAATTTTTAAATGTGCTATTTTTTTTCGAAGTTTTGTAAAAACAACTTTCAGCGATTACAGAGATAGACCAATCGGTGGCGCCATTTCGTAAAAAAATCGAAATTTGTGCCATGTTAGCGGAGAATTATTATGCTAAATGAACTTTACGAGATCAGTTGACTGTATTATATATAGGCATAATTTTATACGCGTGGTGTAGTTTCGTTGAGCAGAAATATTATTCCCTTAGAATATTTATTTTTTTTAAATTTATTAATGACACAAAAATACATTTAAAATTTTATTAAATGCGAAAAAGACATTGAATGTCACTTAATTACTTTTGTTAATCTTCTGTTTATTCTTTATTATTAATTCTGTTGTCAAATATTTATCTATACTTATCAATTGTTTAAAAAAAAATGGATAATGACACATTTCCAGGCAAACTTTCATCCCCTATTTTTCGCAATAAAATGTAGCCTATGTACTTTCTTAAAGTTAAGTCTATTTACTATATTAATTTCCATTTAGATGGGTTCAGTTGTCTAAACGTAACAACACTTATTTATCTTACTTAAGCTATCGATACTTTTAATACGATTCTAAAATCTAGCTAAGTATCGATACTAGAACCATATGCTGATCAAATTAGAACTATACCGAGTTTTCCAAAGCATATGCAGTGACATATACCAACTGTATTAAATCATCATATAAAATATAGCATTTTATAATCAACAATAAATATCGATTATAAGTTTATTGGAAATTAACAATATTGCCGAAATAAATATCGATTCAAATCGATTATTTTTTCCCAAGCCTATTTCTTATGAATTTTCCGGATCTCGGACACAGCAGTGCACAAGCGTAAACACGTTTTTCATTGCCGCCAACACGGACCTGAAAAAACCGGTCCGGAATAGAGAAAAGTAAAATTCCGGACGGTAAAATTCCTGACAGTGCACAAGCGCGCATTACCTACATATGGCCTGACATATCGGACCTGAAAAAATCGGACCGCCGGACATGAAAATTCTTACATATAAGCTACCCGCTTTTATATCTTTCTATCGCGAAATTTAATATATTTCACTATTTGCCCGTGCCAAAATTTAGTTCTCTGAATTTTAATTACCTGCTGCTTTTCGAACGCAATTTTGTGGTACACAAAATCAGCATTTGCGGTAGAACAGACGCAACGAAAATAATTTATACAACAGGTGAATAAATGAAACAAGCTACCATAATGTTATGATCAATATAATCTTATAGTCTTATAAATATCAAATTATATTACAACTAAAACGACAATAAATATTATCAATTTATGATTTAATCACTGACAGGATAACGAATTATCATTACACAACTTCCCATACTCAACGACATGATTTTATCAACAAATTTTTTTTTATAATATATTTTTTAACAACAAACATCAATTCTATTACTTTCTAGATAAAATACGTAATCGTTTGACACTCGCGTGCAATGAATTGCAGACTATTGAGAATATGTCATTCTATATATTTTAATATAAATGCCTTCAAAATATTGTCAGAATGGAATAAAGATGATACTATTATCTTATAGTAGGTATCTACTATTTTGCAAGCGAGCGTTATTTCTTAATTTGTGTATGTATTACATCAACATGAAGCTATAATTACGATGGCTTCTAAGATAATCTCAAAGATACAGCGACAAATTACATTCTACGTCTATTTTAATCAACAGCTTTCTTTTAGCATTAATAAACATTGATAAAATTACCCTTTATGCGCTATCGAATTTGAATTAATGATAAATTGTTTACTCCATTTAAACTTATTCGAGGTTCGTGTGACATGAAATTGTGTTACTCTAACAAAAAAAAAAAATATTTCATTATAAAAAAAGTCATCTAAAACCTTACTGATCAAAATTGAAAATATGTATAATATACTGATTAAAAAAGTCCAGTGTTACCATTTACTGCTGGATACGCACACATTTAATTATAAGAGTCTATAAATAAAACTGGCGCGCTACAGATTGACATAGCGCGAGTGTTGCTACGTGTTATAATTTGTGTGAATGTGTTTTTTTTTTGTTTAGTAAGCGTGGTTTGCTACAAACAGACCAGCTTCGGCGCCCACACCTGTTACTGATCCGGCGACGTATTTGCCCTGCGACGCTTGGCCGTTAGCCTGAAAAAAAAAAAAAGAAATATTAGTACAGATTTAAAAATATATAAACAGTTTGCAGACTTTAACTTTATTTCTTTACTTGTTAGAAATAGGTTTTTCATTTAGTAGTAACTAGTATGGATGGAGTCCGTTCATATAATTCAAGTTATTCCAAAAAGTTTATAGTGAGTTGGGAACTCCGTTGCAAACAGTAATCATAGTATAGTGGGTGTTGTAGAGTAGTAGTTGTCAACAGGTGGTCCGTGGAGGTATCCTAATTGATATGTGAAGCGGAGAATATGTTGAAGGTACATAGTACGGCTCTTTATTTACATTTAGGTACTGCATAATTAATTAATCAAGTGGACGGCCCATGACCCTATAGATATTGACAAATGGTCTATACCATAACGAAGTGACTGAAAAGTTAAGAAACTGACATCACTCTTATTACGTCTGTTGATGATGAAATAAGAATTGGTTAGTGACGAATTTCGACACCAGTGGACCAATAGATTGGAATATATAATAAATATATTGTCAAGTTCAAAAATAAACGTGCGTTAGAAAATACACTATCCATACTGATAACAAAGGGCAGCTGAACAAAGGTCATCCTAGCGATGAATATAAAATGAGAAGGCAATATTTGTTAGGCCAGTCTGCTGTGTAGTGCTTTAGGAATATGGATTTGTGATTAAACTTTAGACGAAGAATATGATATTTTAATACCGTGGACATATTAGTGTAGTAGATTATACGATCAAAAGATTGTTACGTTATTTTAGGCATTTTACGATTAAACGATTGAATGAAACATCGTTAACATCGTAGTAGTAGAACGGGGCTCTTTGTATTGGCAATGTGCACGACTTCAGCGACATTTTGCATTCGCAAGCTAGAGTTTTGACGCTTTGAAATTAAACGTGATATTTTTTGGACAAAATTTTAAAATCAAAAACTCTCTATTTATGTCCATTACACAATTTCTGTGAACTGTGAATTTGGATTCACACAGGGTTGTGAAATCTCTTTTATCTACACTCAAATCGAAAAATTTGAATTACGAATTCAAAGACGATTCTATACATACGCGCTTTATAAACGCATATACATAAAATGGAAAATAAAACTCATTATAGTACCGCTATCTTTTTTTATTCATTAGACTAGTCTATGGTTTTAGGCTGAATATGAAAAAAACGGCGCACGCATGCCCATTTCGAGCTGTGAAAAAAAGGCGCACGCATGCCCATTTCGAGCTGTGGAAAAAATGGCGCACGCATAACTCACTTCCTTGTAACCTACCTATTTTGTTTGATTTCAATTTTTCCTATTAGTGAAGATAAAGTAGTGTATGAAACTACATATTACTTAGGTATTAAAACAATCGAGTCAACCTATTATCGCATTCGGCTTCGCCTCATGCAACAAACAGACTCTCGTGTTTTAATACCCCTTCTTATATGACAGTTGCATAAACTACTATTAACTACTCATATTAAATACTTAAAATTAATTTAAAAATATGTTTTATTTAATTATGTCAGAAATTCTCCAGCTCATTTTTAGTTGCAGTTTTACAGCATGTGTCTGACGTTCTCATTAAAATGATTTTTAAATCGAAACGAATGTCTCTCAATATCAATATTCTCATTAAATTGGTTTTTAAATCGAAACGAATGTCTCTCAATATAAAATAAAAACTTTGATTCTTTATTTATTTAAAATTAATTTCCGTTTGAACTCATAATCAGTAATACTCAGTTATTATTTTAATATTAATGAAGAAGAATTAAAAAAAAAACTAAAGCACTAAAAAGCACCTCCACTAGATGGCGACTCTAGCAAAAGTAAATTTTTGCGGGAAACGAATGGACCAAGGACATTTTCATTCCTTTTAACTAACATATTTTAAATAAAATCTAAACGACAAAAGCAAACAATCATTTTTTTTTCATTGTATTAAAAAAAATATTTTTATAGATAATGATATAATATAACAAGAGTAATTGTTCTTAAAATGCTTAAAAATTCCACTTTTATTCCCTGGCACTCTGAGATGGGGCTCGAACCCATTACCTTGCGCAATCCGGGCGACTGCTTTAAAAAATGCGCTTTAAGAGTCATTCAAGCAATATGTAAGGCAACAAACTAAATGGAAAGGTCCTTGCATTGATAACGTTTGTTTATTTTTGGAATGCTAATGAGTGCACAATATTTCCTATGATTTATTATCATAAATATAACACATTTACGAGGACTTTTTACCAGAAGTTTTACATTTAAATAGCATTGAACTAACAGAACTAACAGTTGGTTTATGCATTGACAAAAATGTATCATCAATCACTGGGTAAAATAGGAATATCATAAGTAGGAATATGTTTATAATCATCTTTTTCTTTTTTATTTCCGATGGTAAATAACAGGTTTAAAAATGAGAGAAGGACAAAACAAACAACATAAAATTTTGTAACAATTTTTCCTGTATAATAAAATTTACCACAGCATGGGAAGCGCGGGAAGTTTTGTTTAATTTCACTGGCAACGTATCCTTAGCTACATGACAGCTTTTCGCCTACTTGTGTTATATTATACTTACGTGTGTTATATTTTTTAATGCCTAGTTATATTTTACTTTTACTGATTAAATAATCAGTTTTCATAGTGTTAATATTAAAAAAATACTTTATTTTACGTTAGACGTTTCGGATATTTCACAGGTTCCGTGTTCACTTAGACTAAGATATTGGCTGGTTTAATAAGGTAGTTTCATTAAATTGACATCAGTATAAACAGAGATTTTGATTTCTAAAATCGCAAGATTATCCTTTTATTTTAAAATTAAAAGTCGTTATTTATTGTCTGTGTCACGAGACTTGAAGCACGATCCGCCATTGTGGGACGACGGCTGTCAGATAAAGTATTATAAATCAAATTTGTAGATGGCGCTTTCTTAGCTTATTCACATCTTTTCATTTTGTAATCGATCGAGTTAGATGGCATTGTTCTTTTTTTATTGATATCTTTTAATCTTCTACTCAATGCAGTTTTGTATATATATTACAATGACGTCATGAATATGACGGACAGCGTTTTCGAGGGTATAAAAAAATTTAAACTTTGATTTAAGTTTAAGGAAAGAAAATGTGTTTATTTCCCCGAAATATTTGTTTTATGGCTTGTTTAATGTTTTAAATTAACATAAACAGTTACAAGTATTAATTCAAACAGAGTAGAATACCCTATTGTTAATGTTTTATCGATGTTGGGGTGTGACTTTAAAAACCAGATGTACAGTAAATCTTTAGATTTTTCAGTAAATACCATTATAATCTTCGATTTATAAAAGTCCACAAACTGTTTTATGATCGTCGTCCACTTCATACTTTACGAATGAGCTAAAAGCTATAATTTACTTTTTTAAATTGTAATTTTAAAGAGCCCTTATATATTTCGTTTTGATATGGAACTAAAGCAGATTGTTGATAGATAATAGAAACAATAAAAGATAGAAACTTCCAAACTAGTTACACAGACAGCTATTGGACACAGACACAATAGTTGTTAAAATTTTCTTTGTCCAAATTAATAGTAAAGATTTTGTATAGTACATATTTTTATTCCAAACCTAATGACTAAGCATGTTCCAAGCTCGGCTGGTATAAGCCCGAAAATAGTATCTTTTTTAAAAATCGTACATTTTACAAAAAAACTAATAATTAATATTTCTAGTAAAAACTTAATCGTGAAATTCTGGTTTTAACGTATTATTTAAGAAGCAACTAAAGTAAAGCCGTTTACATATACAAGGATATTTTCAACGACCTTTTTCGTTTTTTATGAAGCAAGTGTTAACTTTGAATTAAAAAAGGCAGTTGACTGAATAGGGATGACGACTAATTTTTATTTGTTTGTCCGTCTGGTAGATTGTTGAAAAATATTAAACATGTATTATATGTTTGTAATCATTAAATAACGGCGATACATTGGGTTAAAATGTCTCGCTTGTTTACATTTTGTCCAAAAATGTGACGTAGCGAGTTTAACTTTAATGCCTATTATCTAAGCTATTTCTTGTTAAATTGAAGTAAAAAAAATAATACGTATCTAATATTTTTCGATTATCCGACTTACGGACTAAAAAAAATTTCTTTTTTTTTTTACCCAATCGTCATCCCTATTATGGGAAGAAAAACGAAGAAAAAGTTTTACATCATTTTTATTGAACATTCATATAACACTTATTACTTACAAATAACACACAAGGCAAATATGAGGCTCTATTTTATGGATAACGCTCAAAAATAAACACTAACACTGGAATACATGTAAGCTTAAAGCTTGCCGCTCTGAAATTTATTTCTAGAATTAGCACAGATTTTTTTTCACACAGAATACTTATTGATACCCAGCGAAGGCCTAGTGTGCATAAAACTAACTTCAGAGGAATAAGCTTATAAAACACATATTTAACATCTCTCTTTCTATTCTTTATATAATATAGATTTTATAGAATATATTTTTAAATACATACATAATTCTCTGTCTTTGGTTTTGAATTTCTTTGCTAGTTCTAAATTTAAATTTGATGCTAAAACGAAAAAAAAGAGATGTAAAATAATTATCTATGAAGCTAGTTACGATATAGATACAATATAATATCTATTGAAGATAACATGATATTAACACACAAGCGTGTAAAAAATGCATTTGCCTTACACAAGCAGTCTTTACTTAAGCCAAATGGTAAATAAAAAGAAACAGTTTGAAGTTTGCTAAGGGCTTTTATACAATGCTCTATAGCAGTTGTCTAATTTGGCCATTTTTATGGAATGTACAGCGTAATTTAAAAGTAAAAAGCAGACCAAATAAGACAAGCATAGATTGCAAGAAATCTACTAAGCTAATATTTTACTGCTTAGAATTATGAACTACAAGCCAATAGCAAACTACTGTTTATGATTAGGAAAATAACTGTTTTAATCTACAACACATTTCTAACATCATTTTCAACTATCGTATTTTAAGAAGTAACTAGATGTAAAGGATTAAAAAAAAAACAAATTAATAGCGAATTACTAAATATGAATAATAGAAAATGATATTGGAATTGCGTACGAGCCAATCCATGATCCGAGTCAATAAAAAACGGAATGATTTTAATAAGCATGAGCCTTAACAAAGTTTGATTTCGAAGCGGCCAAAGATGGTATAGAGCCAGCCTTGTATTTACCTTGGCAAGCAAGACCGTTAGCCTTTATATTAAAAAGAAAAAAATCGAACCATGGATCGTTTCAAGTTATTGAAAATAGAATGCCATAAAATATTTTAAAAATAGAATGAAGGCGCGATGCGATCGTGTTGTCACAGCGTAGTGTGGTTTGTGCAGATCACGTGTAGGGGAGGAGAAAAAAGAAATGCAAAATTAGTACAATTCTACAAAAGCACTAACTACTAGCGCTATAGGCAATAAAACAATTATAGTAAACGCAATGCGTATATTATACGGCAGCTAGTGCAATAATATCTATAAGACAGTGTTTATCACTGTTACTTCTGTCTTTCTATACTATAAGGATTGCGATTACTATTAAATGTAAATGCAAAAGCATGAATGTTCATTTTAAAACAGGTACAGCAAATATCTTTTAGCAGTCTGATATACTACTACTCCTTTGGATCTATGGATGTTTAGTTATTAATATCTTGACCGTGGTGCTATACATTCCGCTACATAAAACTAAAACTTATACAGGGTTCTTTGTAAAACATCGACAACTTCGTAGAACTAGAAAGACATAATATTTGATCTATGAGTTAACCCAACATAATATGACATATTAGATCTACAAAAATCTTTCTTACGTTCACAACAATATTTGATTTGTACCATAAAACGACATGTAAAATATTGAAATTCGTTTCAACTTTCAAATCGTGACATTTATAGTTCTATATTTATTCACTAAACTAAAATGTATGATTGAAAAGGGCGATACTTGCATATGAAGAACCTATTACACATCAGATGTGCATAAGTTATAAAAATGAGAACAATAAACAAAATTTTATTTTAGCTTCTAAACAAAATGTAACGAATCGTGTAATAACAAGCGTTGTTATTTATTATGTTAGCTATCTAGGTCCTTGAGACTATTGGTGTTTAACCACTAACCCTGTATCGATCACCTATCCTTATGCAGGTAATTTATTGTGTATTTCTTGTAGTTTTTTAAACACGCGAGTTTTTATGTCGTACCTTGGTTTAGAATTCACTATTAAAATCAACAATAACGGCGAGTGCGAATTAAAATCGCAATGAGCAAGATCTACTTTTTTTATTATAATAAATTTTGGTTCTTGAAGGTGAATAAATTTTGGAATGTTTGCGTGGAGCGGATCTACTAATTCTGATGATGACTGAAAAGCATTAAAACTCACCCTCAGTGGGGGTTAGGGGCGAGAATATTCAGGATCGGACAAATTATTGCCAGAGGAATTGTTAAACGAGGTCTGACCGGCATGTCTGCAGACTTGCCCGCGGGCATGCCCGTCTAGTGGATTCCCAGCTTAAGTCTCCCTCCAGTTGCCATCCATAAGTTACCATATTTACCAATTTTGTTTGAATGTGTATGTGTGCATGTGTTCAATAAATTGTTTCTCTTTATTACTTACCTTCTTCCAGTTATGGAGATTGATAGTCTAATAAGGATGATAATACCTCAGTCCTTAACACATAAAAGTGTAAAGGAAACCTAAGTAAAACCTGTATGTCAATTTTAGAGATTGATAGTCAAGTGATGACGATAATACATATTACCCTTACACTATTTAAGTGTCAAGTATCTATTAAAGAGAGAATAATGTCAAATTTGTATGAGTAATGTCTTTTAACAAATGACAATTTTGATGTACGTTTGTGCAACTGGATGTTAGTGTCAAGTATCTCATAAGTAGTCTGTACCCCAATAACGGGGAGATTGACGCCTTTAATAAGCTCTAATTAATAACAAATATGTATAGGTAGTGTCGCTTTTAACTAATGACAATTTTAATGTACGTTTTTGCAACTGGCTCTTAGTGTCAAGTAGCTATTAAGCAGTCTGTACCCCAATAACGGGGGGACCGTTAGTGTTACGTGACTGATATTACCTTGGCCCTCTTGAGTAGCTCCTGCTGTCCGGCGAGCACGTTCTCGTTCTTGCCGGCCCACGCGCGCAGCACGGACGCCTGCAGCGCCCGCCCGTAGCTGAACGTCAACATCCACGGCCGCTTCAGACCCTCGATGGCGTTGATCGCGTTCAGGTTCACAGACGCCTCTTCCTCAGACTGACCGCCAGACAGGAATGTGATGCCTGCATACAATGGCTAATGTTCAACGACTTCTCTTCAAACAAACATGAACGTTGTGAGAATTGTTAATTGCTTTATAATTATCATGGTAATATACACTGTCCTCATTTTTTGCACTTTATGATTTAACAGTAAGCCGGAATACTAGTACAGGATGCAGGGCTTTTGTGCCGCCCAACTTTGATAAGAGATTTAGTTTTTTTAATTCTTGTAATTTTTAAAGGGATTTTATTCTATTGAACATATCAACCCCATCATAGCATACTTAAATCTTCAAGTTTGTTGTCAACACTGTCAAAAATATCTGAGTGAGGAGAAAGAACAATGAACGAATTTTTAGTCTTGTAATCTATCAAAAAACTATGTAAGGCTTAAAAGGACTAGTAGCCAGAGCCGTAAACACTAATAATAATAAAAAAATACTTAAATCTAAACTAATTTTATGACAATATTTCACTAAAGAATTTTTTACAGTATTTTGCTGTACTACAGTATATCCTAAATTTATCAGTTATTTATATATATATATATATATATATATATATATATATATATTTTGCAATGACACGACTTAGGCTCTGCTAAAATACCTTGAATTAATCCAACATCTAAATCATTTAATTTAAATTCTTTCACTTGAAAATATAATAAGCAATATTCTAAGCCTTTTTGATGGCTTTTTATATTTTTGGCTTCCACTTCATGTGATCTTTATCTTACCGGGTACTGCTGGGGGTACGGTCCTCATGAGAGCGGTGACAGTGGCGCGAGCGATGTCCATGGGAGTGTAAGTAGTCTTGCAAGATTGACCAGCAGTCACCTAAACGGGGGAAAAAAATCATAACTAAAATAGTTGTCAAATAAACCACCACAAGAACATAACGAAGCAGATAGATCATTCCGTCTGTGATTGCAGAAATCAAGCAACATTCGAAAAGAAACGTTAGGTCATTGGTTCCGGCTGCAGTCATTAACACACACAAATCTAAACTTCTATTGTAATTCACAACCCTTATGGTGATTCAGCCTCCCTATATTGATTCTGTTATCGTGCAGACTCCTTAGTATAGTACTCCTTACTATTGTGACTTAGATATCCTTTTGTGACTCAGGCAGCCTATTGCGATACAAACATCCTATTGTGATTCAGACTATCAGTTATAATTCAAGACTCCCTATTATTATAATTGATATTATATTTATACAATAAATATATATCTCACCATGTTAGGTTTCAGCAGTGTTCCTTCAAGGTAGACATGGTGATCATTCAGCGCCTTGTATACAGCAGCCAGTACAACTTCAGTCACTTTCTGGGCGCGGTCCAGATCATGTTCACCTGATGAAAAAGAACAGAATATAAATAAAAATCTATACTATACAGAAAAACCTTACCTTTAAACATTTACATAAAAACACTCTCTCAGTACATTGATGAAAGCCGCATTAAACACTGTTGTGTAGTTTAAATTATCTCGGCCTAAGTACAGACAGCAGGAAACCGCTTTTGTGTTCAAAAATTACGATTTTTAAATTAATATAAATAACCATTTAGGGAATGCATTGTCCCTGTCGCTTGACAAGCGACAAAAAGTGTGTGAGACTCTCATTTTAATTGGCCTTTGGGTGGGTCTTACTTATTTCTTTTGGGGGAAAGACGTGGATTTCAACAGCCCTGTTGCAAACAATATTAAACTCACCATCAGGCAAGACCTCTGGTTCCACAATCGGAACGATGCGCTGGCTTTGACAGATGGATGCGTAGCGGGCCAGAACGTTGGCATTCTCCATGATGGACTGGTACGACGGGGTGAAGCGGCCAATCTTCAACACGCAACGCCACTTGGCGAAATGGCATCCATCCTTCTTGTATTGAGCGCAACGCTGGGCGAGGTCGTCCAAACCTGGGAGTTAAGTTACTTAATCAATTTTGCATTCACAATGCTATATAAAAAAGGATATAAGTGCCCGTGATGCGATCCGAACACATATCCTTTCGCAATACGAGAAGCTATAACATACACGGTTGACAAAGAACAATAGTTAGCATTCAATATGAATTGTCAGCATTTCATTTGTTTACTGTCTAGAGATGGCAATAATCTCTTCTTCTCTATTTTTTGTGAATAAATGATTATTATTATAATGTTCTGATTTTTTATAAATGAAAATAAAGATTTTATTCCACAATAAATTACATATATAATATTATTAATACGTTACTTCTGGTTCTTATCAATTGAAAGATATCTTAAACGAATTGTAGGGAAAAAAAATTTTGAGATGTTTAAGTGCTTGCTAAATAAGCTTATTTGAGTAAAAGATATTATAAAAATTTATATGGACTTGTTCATTCCTACAAAAATTAATCACCAAATTAGATCATTGGTGTCACTCTAATCTATTGACAGTGACGTCATATACGACATCGAATGTATGTGTTTATATTTTCAAACAAACTAACACCTGCCAATAAAAAACAAAATACTTCAGATTTTTATTAATAGTGCCATCTACAGTAGTTTTTGTACATTAGATACTAAAAGTTTGTATTGGTAGTGCTATAAGCATATGCGCTAGCGCCGACGGAACACATCGATATAAATAGTACCTTGTTTACTGAAGCAAGTAATTTTCCTGTAGCAATTATCATACTCGACTTTTATATCAATATGACCTAGCTATCGGTTAGATAAAATTAATTCGCTTTCAAAGTGTATATTATAATATACTCTTGACAAAGTAAGCATTAAAAATAGATAAATTTTATTGGCTTTGTATAGTGTTCATACACTACTTTTCCATGAATTATAATCTTTTTCTCTCTTTACAATTCTTACCTTGGGTGGTGCATTCGTCTTCAGAACCGAAAAGAGGGACAACACCCTTGTCAACCTTGATGCCAGGGATGATGCCTCGCTTCTCCAAAAGGCTGACCAGAGGAGTGCCATCATCGGCCTTCTGGTACAGGGTCTCGTGAAACAGGATCACACCAGAGATGTTCTCAGAAATGGCCTGGTGAAATAGTGACTTGTATCAGGGATCATACCCAAAATATATTGTTGCGAAAATTGTCTTCAGGCGAGAACATAAAGAAATTAGAGATTAATGAGGTACAACAATACTAGTTAGTATATATATCTAGCAGATATAAGTTATACCTAGAATGTGCTTTAAATAATGATATAAATGAATAATATTTATGTTAGTTTTATGTGAAAAAAATTTGATGTCTATAAAAATATAGTAAATCTTTATATATAAAATCGAAAGGTCTAACTCATCACGAAATCTCAGAAACTACAAGTACTAGGATGTTTAAAACTTTGCATGCGGGTTCTTTTTAGGATGAAGGTGCTCATTAATATGGGACTTTACGAAATTCGAGGGATGAAAATTTTTGTCATTTTCTCATTTCTGGACTTTAACTTAGATCACGCGGGCGGAGCCGCTAGCGGAAGGTTAGTATTTTTATTAAGCTATCGTTCGGTAAATTTTATGGTCTTGGATTTAAAACCAGGTAGCCCTGACTGCCATAACAAAAAAATATATATATACAAGAACTAACATGTGACCTGATTTAACGCAATTTATTAAAACTATAATTAGTTAGTAAAATCAAAACAATATTTTACCGGGTCAGTGCTGAAGAGCAGTTGGCGGTACTTGCGACGGTTCTCTTCAGTATTTTCAACTCCAATATCCTGGAGCCTCTTGCCCATGGTTCCTAAACACGAATTTGTATTAAAACACAGGTAATTTACCTTAAAATGCACTCAGCAAGAGCGAAGCGGGTGGATTTTGATTGACGATAGTTCTCGACTGACATTTGCCGAAATATAGTCTTCTGCACAGGTTTATCAGTTATATCTCATGGTAGCCGTAACGATATACTTGTGCAAGTAAAGAATTGTATAAGCATGGAGTGATTTGTATTAGAAAATTAGACTCAGACAAGTTTAAAATTTCCAATTTTCAATTCCAAACTTCGGAAATGTGTCCAATTTCCGTTTGCGCTTTACTTGGACTTTTTAGGGAGCATTACGCTAAGTTTCAGTACTGTTCCAGCCACTTAGATGTACGCACGTCATTTCCGCGCGTAATAAACGAGATTACAGAAAGACATGGAGTTGGCGATGTTACAGAAGAAATTTAAAATATTAATTATGAGTTATGATTAGAGTTTTTTGCACAATAATTTTTTGTCAATTAATCCTGTTGCGTCATCCCTAGCGCAAAATAACGCACTCGGTAGCTTGCTTTCAAGAGATGATATTTTAGTTAGTAGCTGTTCGCTGCCGCCGCTGATATTTATGCAAGTATGCTTGAACCATTTATGGACACCTCCAAAATACATGTATTTGTGCAAGTCTAGCTTGCGCAAGCATATCTTTATGTGTATGGATGGCATTGCAGTACCCCAGCTTGTTAATAAACTGATTATATTTATTGTGTTCCCGATATTTTAAGTTTAAAACAACATTTGATGTGTTTTAAAGATACTTAAGAATGGAAAACAAACTTAACAAGCCAAGTAATAAAGGCCAGCCTAACAGTGATTGAACCTTGGACACCATCTCTGGTGTCCAAGGTTCAATCACTGTTAGGTCCCGGTTACTAGGTCTGAATATTGTAACATAGCTTATATTTTTATATCTTCTAGCTTATATACCTTCAATGTTTTAAATTTAAACACAAATAAATGCTAAAAACAAAAGCATTTAGAAATGTATGTGCCATATTTGACATTTATTTATCAAGCTTACCAGTGGACTCATCAGCAGCAAGGATGCCTTTGCCTGGAGCTACAATGGCCTGAGCAATCTTTCTGAGCTCCTCCTGCAGCTCGGGAGTTGGGTATTGGAAGTAGGTGCTCATGGTGGCTGCAGACAAAATTAGTATTTATTCACTAGGAAACAAAAGACATTTGTTGAGCAATAATATCAGAATCACCTTCTTATGTACTGTCTAAATTAAAACTAATCAAGAATAGTTAGGTGGAATTGATTCAAATTGTATTATATGAAGAACAACTTCTTTGGCACAACTCCATTACACAACTGAGGAAGAATTTCAGTTGATTGAGTTATCAACAACAGTTATCAGTCCATTAAGAAGATCCGGTATACAAAATTTTGTTTAAATTAGTTAATTATACAATACAGTTAAATTTTACGTCAGTGGGCGTGTCTGTTACCAAGATGATACATTAAACTTTAACAGTATTTTTGTATAAGATCTCTATATCTATGTTTTTGTGTTCTTATAAAAATGTTTGTAAAATATTATAGATAACAATTAAGATAGGATTTTATCTACATATAACACAAGTCTTTGCAATTTCCATTTAACAGAAGTAAAGTATAAAATAAATATGTACAAAATCTAGATAAATAATGCTTTTCAGTTAAAGATTCTATTACAGTTTTATAGTAGTATTATAGTTTTTATATGAATCTTGAAAAGAATGTGATCTAGGATATACAGTAAATACAGTAAAAAACTACTCCATTTCTATGCACATAAGTATACATATGAAACAAGAGTTAACTATAACAGAAAAATTTAAATACACACTAGATGGTGCCAATTTTATTTCACCACTCTCTATACCTAACTAACCGTTTCTTATTTTGATTAAGAGACTTTAAATAAAAAGAACACATTCTCAATTCATCTGTATACACCCATATTTTATAAATTAATATGGAGTCGCATGCAATCAAAGAAATGTAATACTTCTGTATAATACCTATTATGTAATAAGGTTACTTCTGTAATCTTAGATTTTTACAGAATTAAAAAGTGGTACTGTGTTTTTCCCAATTTTGCAAATATTTATGTAATAATTTCGTCTTTGTGCTATCTACCTGAAGTCCATTAATATAACTGAAATGTCTTCCTTGAAAAACAATGGTGACAGATATATTCCTTATTTTGTGATCTAGAACCTGTGTCATAAAGGGTTGTAGTTGAAGCATTATTACATTTCCATAATTACGCTTACATAAGCAGAATTGCTACTGTTGACTATTCAGTTTAGTAGTTTTCATTTTATTTGCTTTAAACATAAATGATAAAATTGTTTATGTTTGATTTTGCACTGACAACCTGTTATCAATTCTTTTCATTGACATACCCTTGGTTCCAAAACCTGGCATCCATCCTGACTCAGGAGGTCCCTTTTTTCCTTTACCTTTCTTTGGAGGCATTGTGGTTTATTATTGTAAGAAAAAAGATATAAAATTTTCACTTAAAAATATATGAAAAATCTTATACTCGACATTGTAAAAATAATTCTTTAAAATAGAAAACTCACCAAGCCTTGCACATAATTTTACTTGACAGCCACTTTCTTTTGTTTATAAATTGTTTATCAAAATTGCAATAGTTCTAATTTCAAAATATACAACCCTTTAAAAATTATAGATCATTTTGACAGTAACAGTGATGTGCTAAAGCCAACTACCCAGGTATCAGAACAAAGTATTAGGTTCTACAACGAAATAAGATGGTTAATTTAAATTGATCGATATCCGCATACGTTTGAATATAATATGTTATTTTTTAATTTAGTCTCATAATATGGACATTAGTTGACCACTCACGCGTATAGATGGCAATAGTATCGCTATTATATTATTTAATTGAGTTGTCACAAAAGAACACTCATAAACTTTACTAACAATGACCTTTTTAGTTTAGTTTCATTATTATGGGCTACAATGTAGCCCTTCTTTAATTTTTTTTTCTAATTGGTACAATTTTAGCTCTAACAGAACTTCCATTTAATCTTTTCTTCTAAAGAATTACAGAAAACTTTAATATCGATAAATTTGACACAAATAAAACTACCTTTATTTTTATGAAATCGTTATCGTATGAAGGTACAATATTTGAAAAATGGTATTAAACACGTTTGAATAGAGTAACACTACAAATATATAAAAAAAACACTACCAAAAACGTTTTATTTAAAATGTCAAAGATTACAATTTAATGTCATGGTTTCTGAGCTGTGAACATTGCGTTTCTGCTGTTTTTAAGTCTTAAATTCGTGCTTCTGTGTAAATCCGTTGAGTCGAGTTCTCTCCTCCGGTAGTGCTACAATATTTGATTGTGAAATTGATTTATTTATTGTGAGATAGGACTCTTTATCACTTCCATAATGCCATCTGACAAAATGTGTTGTGTACCTGGGTGCTCTGAGGCTCGTGGTGGTTCGTAAATGAATTCCATTTAAAGATTCTATTGCTAAAACATTGTCTCCGTGCTTATTTCTACATAATTGTATTTCTCTCTTGCAGTTTCATGTCCTGTACTCCACTTGTTTCCTCATCCAAAACAAGAAACAGAGCGTTTCGAATCTTGGAGATCGTCTGTGGGTGGACATATACTAGATTTACCTGACGAATTTGTTTATAAATATCGTCGTGTGTGTCATGCACATTTTGAGAAAAAATTTCACTGTCGGAACAATAGGCTTTCTAACATTGCAATTCCAACTCTGAATGTGCCAGGTAATTTTTTTACGATATATTATCTAAACTTTAGGAATTACATATTTATCTTTTCCTCATTCCATTAATTTCGATTGAGATTGATTGCTATTTCAAACTCGTTATCCATAATAAGTTTGTATGTTCTTAATTTTTCAAGAGACTTTTGTTTTCAGTTAAACACATACCAGATGTTGAGCAATCAAAGGAAAATAAATCTGACGGCCAATCAACATCTAGTTGTAAGTAAATTATTTTATGCTAATTCTTGAATTTCAATTTCTGAATCAAAACGAAGTACAATATTATTTTCAGATAAGTGTCAGTCAAGAAAACGACCATTGAGCTCTACAGAAAATATAATTGAAAGTCTACCATCCACTTCAAAAGGTATTTAATTGTAATGTATTGATTTCTTATAATTTCATGCGCTCTATTCATAAATGAAACATCTTTTAAATGGTTTCATCATGTTTGTATTGAAGTTTCAGACCCTTTACAGGTTCAGTGTTCACATAAGATTAAGCTATTTATTGAAAAAAGACAATGAAACCATTTAAAGGCTGTTTCATTTAATTGTAATGTAGATTAATTTCAATTGCACTAAAATGACTAACTTAACAATTTGTATTAGGATAATATTTTAGTAATATGGTTATGGATAAAGTTTACACAGGGTCTATAGGTGGGTTAGAAAATCAGTATTTTCAACACCAGTACTAGTGCTGAAATGATTACAATCACGGTCAGTCACGGGGTAGCTGTAATGAAGTTTTTGAGGTTCAATTTACACTAGATAAACACTGGCTTATAATTGTTTAATGTTTTTAGTTTATATTTAACTGCTATTGCAACTGCCATGTGATAAAATAAAATTTATTTTAATAACAAATGGTGAGCTATTCCAAATTAAGTTCTTATGTAAATAAATATACTATGGATTTTTTTTTCAGATGAACATACAATAGCAATTGATCATACTAAGGAATTATTTTCCTTAACTAAAGAACAATCAACATCTAGTCGTAAGTAAACTTTTTATAACAAGCTTTTTGAAACATTCTAAATTAAGATTAATTATGATATATATAATACTTTCAGACAAAATTAAATCAAGAACAACACTGTTGGGCTCCGAAGAAAATGTCATTGAGTGTATACCATCTACTTCAAAAGGTATTTTATAACTTATAAATCTCTGTTATATAATACAAACATAGTTTAAAATTTAACAAATGTTCAATAAAAGGAATAATCATTTCATTCATACTCTATTTCACAGTACTCAAAATATTCTCACAAAAATCAAGCTTTAACTTACTGCTTTAATTCTTTTTTTTTTTTCGTTTAGATACAAAAACAACTTTCAAAATACAAAGCAAGTCACTTGCTGAACTAAAATTATACAGAAAACTCATTGCCACTAGAGCTAAGTTGAGAAAATGTGAAAATAAAATAAAGAAGCAGGCAGCAGCTATTAATACCGCAAAAAATATTATGGCAAACTCTTCAGCTCTAAAAGCCTTGGAAAATCTCCCCAAAAATGCGAAAATTCTCACCATGCTGCAATTACGAGAAACGAAAAAGAAGGGTAAAGGGAGACGATTCACATTAGAGGAAAAAATTGTGGCTTTATCACTATTAAAACAAAGCCCTAAAGGATATAGGTTTTTAAGAAAAATCTTTGTGCTACCAGCTCCTCCAACATTAATAAAACTAATATCTGCAGCCAATATACAGCCAGGTATAAATAAAAAAATTTTTTCACAGATGGCAAAAAAGGCCCAACATATGAAGCCATCTGACAAACTTTGTGTTTTATTATTTGATGAAATGGCATTGAAAGCTAACATCACATACAATGAAAGATTAGATAAAATTATTGGCTTTGTAAATAATGGTGAGGAAATCACTAAAGAATTTGCTGACCATGCCCAGGTATTTATGATTCGGGGCTTGGTCAAAAATTATAAGCAGCCTATTGGCTACACATTTTCGCAGTCAGCAACAAAAGGTCCCGAGTTGGCCAAACAAATAAAGTTATTTATAAAACAAATATCGGAAGCAGGTTTTACAGTGGTGGCGACAGTCTGTGACCAAGGCTCTGGCAATAGAAATGCAATAAAATATTTAATACAAGAGTCGAGAGGTATGTGGCTAGCTAGAGGAGAAGAGCCAAAAAATAATATATTTTTAATAGACTCGTCTGAAATCGTACCTCTTTATGATCCACCCCATTTGATTAAGTGTGTGCGAAATAATTTGCTGGTGAAAAATTTAATGTACAAAAAAGAAAAGGAAACAAGAATTGCCAAATGGTCTCATATAGAATGTCTTTATGATAAGTGTCCAGCATTCGAAGGGATAAGATTGATGCCCAAACTTACAGAGAACCATGTAAAGCCAGCCAAAATTAGCAAAATGAAAGTGAAATATGCAACACAAATTTTTAGTCAGACGGTAGCCTCTCATATGGGATTTCTAGCTGGTATGTATTAATGTTATTTAGTTAGATGCATGCATTGACAAAAAAGGGAAATTAGGTCATGAGTGACAGAGTTTTTAACAGTGTGATAAAAGAGTGATGTGGCATGAACGAAATATCTTCTTTGACAAAGATTGAAAAAGGGATGTTTAAATGGTTTGGCCACATTGAAAGGATGAGTGAAAGGAGATATATAAGGCAAGTGTGACAGGGCATACTGGAAGGGGAAGACCTACGAATGTACCACGACCAAATCGCGGACGTATTAAAGAAAGGCCAAGTCAAAAGTACACTAAACCGCGGCGTTCTTCAATGAAAAGGTCGATTCGTGTGGAGGAGGCGAGAAAAGTATGTCAGGATCGTAAAGAATGGAAAGAAGTGGTATCTGCCTTCCCCGCCAGGAAAAATGCGTGACAATATAGATAGAATAATAGTAATAACAATTATTTAATGAGAATAAACTACTTACATTTTGATATTCTTTTGGCCTATTAGGTACCAGCTTGTCACAAATTGAATGATTGTTTCCTAGAAACATGTAATACTTAGGACAAAATATTTTAAAAAGAAAATAAATAAATTCTCTCAAGCTTAAAGAGTTGTAATCTTGAAATCTCTTGACACCAGATTAAATATTTATTTGTTATATCAGTTCTAATATTAGTGAGTTATCGGTACCATGTATTCAGTTCAATACGTTATAGATTTAAAGCACTCCCAATAATAAAACATCAAAATTTTTAAATCTTTCTTTCTAGTTTAATAAACGTACCGGTTCTTAGATTTTTTTAGACGAAAGATAAAGTATTGATTTTGATAATTTATATTTTGTTTCAGATAATGATGTTATCCCTCAGGAATGTAAGGACACAGCTTACATTTTGCTATTTTTTGACACATTATTTGATACCATGAATGGCAGCTACAAAAAAAAATACCGATATGCAAAGCCGGCTCTACAACCTGTTACGCATACATCTGTTCACAAAAAAATTTGGCAGGAATCAAAAGAAATGTTAAAAGAAATGAATTTCATTAAAGGGGATAAAATTGAATATGTTCCAACATTAAGCAATTGGATATGGACGCTAGATGGCATTGAGACATTGATTAATATTATAGGTAAAAAATATGAGGTGAACTCAATTTGGATGCGGCACCTAAATCAAGATCCACTAGAAAATTTTTTCGGTTCAGTCAGGAGTCATGGTTGTCGCAACACCAACCC